AAAAAAAAAAAAAATGCATTGTTACTGTCTTTGCTATCTAGAAATACTACTCGCAATCAGACACCCAATAATGTCCCACAACGCGTTAACCTACTAACCTCTGTTCACGTAATAAAATAGTTCATAAAATACAATATTTTGTTAGCATTTTCTTTGTTATACTGAAGTACCAACTATTTTATGTCACATTGTGAGCTGAGGTTCCTTTTCAATGGCGTTTGCTCTTATCACATGTATGACTCCTAAGTTTCCAGGCCCCAAGCCAGATAACACTCTGGGGTAAATGCTAACCTCCGTCAAGGGCAGAGAAGAAAAAATGTTCCCCGTATTGGGGCTGCAGGGCCCCTAGTGAGCGCGCAGCTCGTAAGAAATGTCGTCTGTCCTCAGAGCATTTAGGCTCTGATGTAAACAGTCCAGGGCCTAGAGCTCTAGGTTTTTGCTATTTTCCTGACTTTCTGTGACACCACAGAAAATGACAATTCGTTCCTGAAGAATCCTGAGGATGCTCACCAGGATGATGGAAGACTTCCGGGAAGCAGGGCCGGGACTGTGCGGCAGGCCTCGGGGGTTGCCATCAGCGTCATCTTCTCTCTCCTCCTCCCGCCCTATCAGGTCCCCCCTGCCTTGCTGCGGTCCTTTTCTCTATTCTCTATTCTCTGTACCTCCCCTTCAGGGACTACCTGAGATTCAAGCACAACTTACCTCCCAATACTAAATGAATAGGTGATTTTTTTCCAGATGTTTCCATATAGCGTTTTTGTTTATGTACTATCCTATTATGCTTTACCTGTAACCTGCAAACTAACAGTTAGAATACTTTATCCTGTACACTGGCTCATCAAATAATATTGATATGCATTTATTAAATAACTAAAATAACAAATCTTTGTTCTTTTTGATAGAGCCAAGTGAAGTCCAGAACATAATGATCAAACGGACTTCAGATAATAGTATGCTTATCCAGTGTAAACCTCCCCGTGACCTGAATGGTCCGGAAGCACGTTACCATTTGGAAGTGATACTTGGTGATGCTTCATTTCCTAAGACCAACAAAACCTGCTATTTCCATGTAGAAAATCTTCAATATTCTACAAACTATACATTTAAGGTAAGGTTCTGCTCTCTATAGCATTATAGCACCTGTCTACATTATAATGATTCATATCTAGTACTTGAATAGCATGAAGACCAGTGGTCATATGAACTCGAGAAATTCTGATGTGTAATGAAATTCAATTATAAAAGCCCCCCCCAATTTTAAAGTATGCCATATCTTATTGTTGACCGTAGTCATTTTGATTGCAAAAATTTTATCTCTAGAGCTAAAAATACTAGCACATGTTCATTGGAATGGTTTGAAACTTCAATGTGATTTAATTATACCTCAATTATTATTCCCACATCAAGGAGCGCAACATTTTGTCCCCAGTAGATTAATACTTTGCCAAATCTTTTCTTTACTGTAGCTTTTTATCATTACTAATGTGAACTTTTCAGTTGTAAAAACTTTACAGGTACCTCAAAGTGAGAAAGTACAGGAAATAAATAATAGAACATATTCCTGAGCATAGAAAATTAAAAATACTTGTAATCTCACTGTCTACTGATCATATTTTATATAGATACTTTCGTAACATGTAATTCCACATTCATCTGCATTTAACAAACATATTATCAACATTCTGAATACAAAGTTTGGTAAACTGTATTTTTCTATATCAAGCACATCTTCCCATGTGAAAACTTTACTATCACATAGTTTTTAATGGTTGCATAATATTCTATCATATGGCTTTACCACATTCTGCCAAATATACTATGTTGGTCTCTAATGTAAACAACATCCAGTAAACACACTTACTGGTAAATAGCAAACTCTTTTAATATTTCTTTAATCATTTATGTTTGATAAATTCCTATACTTTATTAGGTCAAAGGAATTTAAATGCGTTTTAACATTTTTTGAATACACGTGAATACCACCTTTCTTTTTCCATAAATGTTACCAAATTACCTTCTTGCACCAGTGTATAAAATGACTGCGTATTAAGAGACTCACCAACACTGAACACGCTTTTCTTTTTCTTTGATATGTAGAGGGTGAAATCTTGAATTAGTATCTCTTTGTGTCTTAATGGGCTGTCTTTCTTGACTGTTAAAGGCACATAAACTTTGTTGTTTTTGTGTTTATTCTTTCCTCTGTCCAATTTCATAAGGAAATCTTTGGATACTACTAATAAGCTCTTTGCCATATGCTAATGATTTTTTTCAGTTTATAGTTTGCCTTTCAATTTTCTTCACAAGACTTTAGTTCATCTGCAACCCCTCTTTTTATTCTTATACAGACAAATGACACTTTTTTCCTGTTCGATGAAAACTTTCATAGTTAACTGTTATTAATACGACGCTGACAATTGTCTTCGTATTCTTTTACAACTGAAGTGTTTTTATACTTATAAGCTTTTTTGGTTTTGTTTTATAACAAAAAAAACATAGGTGGGATTTTGTCAAACTTTTTAAAACTTTGTACTAGAAGTTCTTGCCACAGTCATGATGCCATGATGTGATTTGTTGATATGATAAATGATAGTGACAGGTTTTTGAATGCCAAACCATTTTCACATTCAAGAAAAAAATTCCAACTCAGTCATAGTGCATTATTCTTTTAAAGTAGTATTGAAATCCATACCCTAATATTTTATTAAGTCTTTCTAAATAGGTATTCACAAATGAGATCATTCAATAAGTGGGTGGAGGTGGTGTTGGCTAGTCATGAGTGACATCAATCATGGGTGGTCCCCAACCACCATTCTTACAACATTTTGGTATTAAAGTTATGTTGACCTGATAAAACACATTGGCTGTATTTTCCTGTTTTTCTGTGTTCTATAACTTTAAATAGTATAGGAATACTGTGTTCCCTGCAACTTTTGCTTTGATCTCTTTTATGCAGAAGGATTCTTAGAGAATCGTTTGCATTTTCTCTCAATAGGATTAAGTCTTTTCAGGTATTTTATTCCTTTTCCAGTGAGTGTGCCATTTTAATTTTTTTTTTCAAAATAATATGGTCAGCACCGTAAAGAGATGCCCGTGTAAAAGCACTTTTTCTTATTGCCGAATTGTACATTATACTTTATTCCCACTACTTCCCACCACCCATGAAGTACCAGGCATACTGGTTTCTTCCCAGGCTCACAAATACACTGAGGTTTTGCTCTCTGTAGGCCCCTCACCCTAGGCTTGTCTCTCTTCCTAGAATACTTTTCTCCCACTCTTCACATATTCACAGTTATTTTGAAAAAAGAAAAAAGAAAACGTGGACATTGTATTAAAATACAATCTTAAAATTTAAACCAGAAGGTAATTGTTCCGTCACCCATTCTCCCACCCACTCTGCAAAGGCTGCCTTGTTTTCTTCACTACACTTTCCATTACTTCATTTTATGTTTAATTCTGTCCCTATGACCTCATTTATACCTTTCTGAGAGAGTAATCTTTTCAGCTTTTTCACATTGTGGTCTCTGGTTAATAAATTAATAAGTCGATTTATTATTATCTTTTTTTAAACTTTTTTTTTTTCATAAGTTTATTTTGATGTTTTTCTGGTAGCTTTGGGCGTGAAGTATTCCGCCCTCCCTATGATTTTTTTGTCTTAAAATTTTTTATTAATTAAAAAAAAGAAAAAGGCTAGGAATTGTCCTTTGGTAAAATTTGACTGTATCCCATGTCTATACTCCTTATTCCTAATTTCTGAATTCCTGCACATCCAATTTAATGAATGATTCATAAAGTAATATGCTCTTATTATTTATAGTTCTTAATGAGTGTACTATTGATATTTGGAAGAGTTTTTAATTTATCTGTTATTTAGGAAAATGTTTCTAAGTTTCAGGTGCTTGAATTTCTTATTGCTACTAGTTAGTAATTCATAAAAGGTAATTGGTTTTTATAATTTCGGTCTTTTAGGATTGATGGATTTTTTTTTATAATTGAATATATGATAAATGCTTATGAATAGTCTGTGAATATTGGGCAGTTATATATACTCCATAGGGTAAAAGTTGGAAAACATAGTTGTCATAATTATCATATCTATCACTCTTGTTTTATTATACTAATTATTCTATTTTTACTTAATTTGATTTTTTTTGTCAAAGATTCTCATCGCTTTTTTTCTTCTTTCAATTTCCCTGTATGTTTAAATTGTTTCTGGTTTATTTATTTATTTATTTTTTTTTTTGTACAAAACCTCTTTATTGGTGGGGGAGGGAGGCTGCAGAGCTGCACCAAGGAGGAGAGAAAAAGAGAAGAGAAAGGGGAGAGAAAAGAGAAAGAGAGGAGAGGAGAGAGGAGTAGAGAGAGGAGAAGAGAGAGGAGAAGAGAGAGAGAGGGAGAGTAGAAGATAAGGGCTGGTTTATTTATTCATATTAGTTACAATGAGACATAGGTATTTATACTACTCTGTGTCCATTTGCCCTTTAAAATTTTATGTGAATTTCATACATAACTCTTATAAACCACATTAGTGAAATTTCCTTTTTAAATAAGATGTGAACATATTACCTTATCAATAGAAAATTTTAACTTTATGAATATTTTGATGTATGGGATTTTATTTCTTCATCCAGTTTCATAGGTTACTGCTGATTATAACTATTATTATTTTGCTAAGTGAGCTAACATTTTATTATATCTTTTGATAGCTTTTAAAAATATTTGATAACATACTGATGTTACCTTAATGTTTTAACTTTAAAGCAAATCAGAATATTTTTAATGAAAATAAATAGCATTGTATAATAAACAATGTGTTTTACATTATGATATATAACCTTGCATTGCAAAACTAAATTATTTTCTTTTTTATTACTGAAATTCAGGTCTATTTTAACAATGGGAATTTTGATGGAGAGCCAGTCATTCGAAATCAGTCAACATCTTGTAAGTCATTACTAGGCTATTTATTATATAGAGATTAAGATACATATTGGTGCCTAAAAAACTGTATTATTTTACATTCATAGTCACATTTAATTCTCAGATGTTTAAACTGTATATTTTTATAAGCATAATATTTTAAGTCCTATATCTAGATGAATATCATGAAAAATGCAATACCTTAAAACCAAATTAAAAGATTCAGTTATTAAAGGATTGTTGAACTTGTAAGAGGATTTATCCATACAGACTATTAAGTTATGATTCCGATTACAGTATTTCTTCATGTCAGTAACTTTCTTTTGTGTGGCGTTATAGAGATTGGTACCTACTTTATCTTACTCTGTCCCTCAACCATTTGCTTGGTGGAAGTGGGCTGTGGATAGAACTCTGTCTTGATTTACCTCATTACAGCTAAGATAAGCACTCCCTAATAATAATAGGGTTCCTTAAATTATCATTATTAGTTAAATGTATTGTAATTAAAGGTACACATTTTTAAAATTGCCTTAAATTTTAATATAAAAATGAAAATAGTATCTGTATATGACCTTCCCTACCCACTGTTTTGTTCACCACAAACAACCACTTTCAACCATTTCTCTTTCAATGCTCTGTGTAATTTCTTTCATATATACATGTGTATATAAAATTTTATTTACAAAAGTTTTGTTTACTTTTTTATATGTATTTTGCTTCATGTATACATGTGTATATATACTTTTATTTACCAAAGTTAACAAGTAGAGAAAACTTAAAATAGTTACTATGTTGTCTTTCTCCATGGGCGTAGAACAATAGGAAGCATTAGTAACCCTAGGAAAAGCAGTATATATATGGATTTCTTTCTCT